TGTGTGTGTGTGTATATAAACCTATACCGTGTTGATATTTAATGGCCCCCCGGCCACTTAGTACTATGAAAATTGGGCCTTAAGGTCAGAAAGGTTACAAACCCCTGCATTACAGTATGTGTATACAGTACAAGCAGCCAAACTACAAACCAAGGGTATAATTTTCTTGACACTAGCTTCTGAGGTGACTTACATGAAGATCTATGCAGTCATATACAGATCAGGCTTCGTCACTCTGCCACCTCTTGGTGTATTTATAATCACGTCCATGAGGGTAACACTGCTTCACAACAACATGGCCTTAGAAAGCAAATGTTCCCAAATCCTCGTGTAAACATCACCTCTCATCTTCCTCCTGTCCGTCTGTCTGGTCATTTTTAGTTTGGCTGTCCAGCTGTGGGAAATGTCCTCTTATTTTGGGAAACTCCAGCCTGAACTTCAACACTTTCTTGCTCTCTGACCCTGGGCCTATCAGCAGTCAGGACTTTCTCAGAACGACTCACAATGCAATCACAAGCACACACTGTCCTGCTGTGTGCCGAGGACCATATAAGTCATCTGTTTCTAAACAGATTTCCTTGTGGCAGATGGGGTCAGAGGTGAGTCTCTGAGAAGAGCCTGTGATAAGTCTCTAGGTTTTAATGTGATGTCATTAAAGTAACCCTAGAAGCTGCAATTCAACTTGTTTTGCAATGTTTTCCTTGCAAGGAATCCAGCACCTCATTCTATTTAGAAACCCCAGCCTTGGTATGCAAATGTATTTTCAGCAATAACACTAATGAATCATGGGAGGCCTATCAGTAAGAACTGTGATCTATGCATGTGCATCCACTGCAGCAGCAAACTGAGAGACGCTGGCGCTGAGGCACATGGTTGCTGTGATCTTTAGCAGCTGAGTCGTATGTGTTTACATTTGCAGTCTCCACACAAACATGTGTTGCTTTCAACATGTACATGTGATACATTGGCAGTAGAATTAACACTAATATAAACACAATTCTACATCTATAAAATCAGGTACACTAATAATATATTGATGTTATTGAATGAAAATGTGTTATTAAATATGTACTATGCTGGGCTGAATTTGTCATACTAATTTTTGGTTATTTTTCTTCCTTGTGTATTTACTGATGCAGGCTGAGGAGAACATTTTAAAGGTAGTTATTAATTTTGTAAATATTAAAATCCCCCGGCCTATCAGTTTAATGATGGCTTTGTTGACATTATGTACAAACACATCTCGACTGGAAAAGAGTGTGTGCCTCAAATGTACTAAAATAAAAACAAATTAATATGCCTATATTACAAGTTTTATCTACATAAAATAATAGCTATTAAAATACTTTTAATTTTATGACATTTTTAAATACTCTTTATTGGTCACTGGTAAATAAAGTCATTTTAAATCACCAGGTTGTCCACAAGAATACTGTACACTTCTCCTTTACCTCTGTCTTTAATTTTATTTAAACCCATGTCTGTGTCTTCTCAATCTGGTTGATGTTAAGGTGTTGTCGCCAAAAACACTAGCATTACCATAAATACATACTGTACATGCACGCCTCACTGATGCAAAGTAAAGCAATTTAATCTTCGCAAAAACTCGATAAGCCTAGATGTCGAGGTCAGTAATGGTATGAAAATATCTTCATGCCGTAGTCTGAGGCAAACCTGTTCCTATTTAATGATCAAAGAAATACTGCGGTCCAGTGCATCGTGGGAAAGTAATGGGAG